TATCCATTTCTCCCAAGTACGTATCTGCGAGCGTCGTCGGTGATTACGGGCAGATTTTCCCGGTGCAATTATTCTTGGGCAATCGTCGGGTTGCGACAATCGTCGTATCGTCGCGGGCGCACGATCGGCGCGAAACTAGTGCGAAAAGTCCGGGCGTACCTTAAAGGTACGAAAACTGGACGGAAAAGCGAACAGATGATATTTACGACGGCCGCTCCTTACGGCGGCGGCTTATTTATCCACTTTAGATGCAAGGACGAGGAGAAGTTTAAGTCGATCTAAATGCCACGGGCGAGTCCGTAGTTCTCGGCCCCGTTTTCTTTCCCCGATTGCTCGGTACCGGCAAATCGCCGCGCTTAATTATAATATCGCGAAAAGAAGTTTGACAGTCCCACTCGCCGACAATAAGCGGTCGCTAAGACGAATGCTCGTCGATATAATTATTTCCGCTCTCATTTTCGAGCAATTCTAATTTAAAGAAACGACCCTAGCACAATATCGGTACTGGCGTAATATTGGGAAATAATGTAAATCTACCCAAGTCGAAATGTTGGTACCATTTTGACACTTTTAAGCATAATTTACACCTATCTAACCGATTTATTCACCTACATAGACCAGCAATAACCTACTGTGATGACATAATATTTTTTTACTCCTCCCTTGGATCTTTAATTCTACAAATTTATTTTAGCTCCTACTTAGAAGGACCTATTTTAATAAATTGGCAGTAGAAATTTCCAACACTCAGTTTTTAAGTAGGAGTAAATTCTGTACTGGCAGTTCGACCTCTTTTACTGGCTTAGGTCCTACTGTACAATAGATTTAAAGGTTCAACATAAGGCCAAAATTTCGACCTATTTTAATAAATTGGCAGTAGAAATTTCCAACACTGTTAGTTTTAAAGTATAGGAATAAATTTTGTACTTGCAGTTTGACCTCTTTTACTGTCTTAGGTCTTACTATACAATTAGAATTAAAGTTCAACTCGGGTTATTTAAGTACTATAATTCCCGAGTCTAAATTTTGCTACTATTGTGACACTTTTAAGGATAATTTACACCTACATAGACCAGCAATAACCTACTTTGATGACATAATATTTTTTTACCCCTCCCTTGGATATTTAATTCTAAAAGTTTAATTTAGCTCTTACTTAAAAGGACTTACTTTAATGCTAAATTGACAAAAGTAGAAATCTTCGACACTATCAGCTTTAAAGTAGGAGTAAATTTTGTACTTGCAGTTCGACCTCTTTTACTGGCTTAGGTCCTACTATATGTATAATAGATTTAAAGGTTCAACATAAGGCCAAAATTTCGACTCGGGTAGTATTTCCAATATTGGTCCAATATGATAAGATGGACGCCTTCTCTTATTTTAGCCAATTTGTCTATTTAGCAATGTTGATTTAATATTGTATCAATATTCTTATTACATTGTTAAATATTGGCCAATGCACTTGAAATTTAAATCTAATATTGTAGAATTATTATCGTGCAATATTTACATTTATTCCACGGCCAATATTGGCTTTACGTTGGACAATATCGGCCAATGAATTTCTAATACGACCAGCATTGGGCCAATGTTTAGTCAATGCACTGTGCTACTACGGGAGTCACAAGTCAACGTGACATTAAACCTGGCCTACGCTATATACATTTACTGCATCGTTTATCCGGATTTATTTAATTAAATTAAAAGTTGACGAGGGTTCGGGGCTTATTTATAGAATCTACAACACGGTACCCGGCTCGTATTTACACTCGATCTCGCGTACAAATAAACGATAATGTGATCCACGCGGATCGTCATGTCACCGCCTCGCGACACGTTTCCACAAATTGGAAATATATTTCAAATGCAGATGCCCGGATTCCCCGTGTATTATTGAGTAACGACACTCCACGCGTGATTTCACACAAAATTGCGAAATAAATTAATCGGCGTGCCGCCGGTGCGCGCGACATCCAGTCGGCTCTACCGTCATTAAAACGTTCGTATTAATTAGCTCGGTTATACCGTGACGAACGAGCGGAAATTCGGTCAGGGATTTTGCACGAAAAACATGTGCCACTTGGGGAAACACTTGACACTTCGCAATATTTATTCCCGTTGCCAGAAATAATGAGATCTGCGAAATGTCTCTCGACGAGCAACACGAGCCACGAGGAATGCAATTCATTAAAGCTTTATTACGAAAAATCAGTAATTGCTTTCACCAGATAAAACAAGCAGGTGAGCGCGCGCGCGCGCATTACATAAAAAGTTTAGGCCGACGAGGAAGTAACATAATTTCTGTATTACTTAAAGAAGAAAAGATTACGATCGACGGGCGGATGCAGTCATTCGAGGAAAAATGTTTACAAGCTGCGTTCTTACGAGGTATACATATAATACGATTAACTATGCTACATACTAGCCCGCGAATTCTCTTTTCCGGGTGATATTGGAATTTAATATAGAAATAATCCAGTATTGGGAAGTAACTCGTTACTTGTAACGAAGTTACAGTTATAGTTACTTTTTTTTCGGTAACTCTAACTTAACTCACAATCAGTTACATTAATAGTTACCTTATATATATTTTTTTAAACCTCCACAGATCGCATTAGGCCTCGCATTTGCGCACAAACGCCTTTATCGACACTTTGCAATTCAAATGCAGATTTAGATATTTTTATTTTCATTGCAAAAAGTAATTGCAAAGTAACAATTGGTTACTTTTCGAGTCATTGTAACTAGTTACATTTTTAGCGAAAAAACTAACTGTAACTAGACACTTTTATAAAGTATCTTTCCCAACCCTGATATAATCTTTGCAGAGTTCATATTATTTTATTCCGATACTAGATTAAATCGGTAAATTGCGAATAAGATATCCGCACGTTAATAAAATTTATTAAGCTTACATAAGCATATATAACGAAAGAGACGCATTTCTCGAAAATACGGTATTTCGAAAGTTTTAAATTTTAATCGTATTATTAAACAAGGACAGCCAGTTTTCTCGCGTTTTTGTCTCGTATTGGATAGTGCGCCGAAATGCGCCGCACAGACAGACCTAATTTACTGTATACAAAACCTACTATGCGGCTATTGCGCCTTGGGATTGCGAAATGTTTGTTTAGCCGGCTGCAGTTGCACGATAGAATGCACACATAGGTCCTGCATTATCAAGATTGGCGTACACGAGCTGACATTTGAAAATGCACAACGACTGGAACACTGGTAAGAAGAAAAAGTCTGTTGCCCTTACTTTAACATAACTTAAAAAATATCTCATTTTCAGATATTAACATAATTCTTGTAGGCAAAAAATTATTTCATAACTCCTTTATCACGTAAAGTTGTGTCTCTTGCTAAAATCCCCCAGCGACTTATGTATATTAATTTCTATTTAATAGTACTGACATTTAAAAGTTCGTAGTCGTTCGAAAATTGAAGCATAAGAAAGATAAGATTATTGAATTTACTTCATAATGTATTTTCTCGTAGATATAAAGCAATAAAATATCGATACAGAGAAAAATCCTCTATTATGCGACGGGCTTCTACTATGAGACGGCAGATTTTCAACATGAAACTCTAATCACAAATCTTTATTCACAACGATTACACGATCTAACAATGAATTCTCCACTAAACAGATTTCACGCCATGGGCAATAAATTCACGCAAGAACCCTACTATCTCATATTAGGAGCTTATCTCATAATAGGGGACTCTCCTCTACGCTTAAAAAAGTTGTACAGGTTGATATAGTACACTTTTTGATTTGTTTAAGACAAAATAGAATGTTTCTAGATGCAGAGAGCACATTGCAAATTAAATGATTTATATATGTACATATAAATTTCTTTCCAACGGAATCTCTAAAGTTTCCAAGTGTGTTGACAAAACTGGTAAATATGATGGCTGAGTTTATTCCCAACAATGGCCAATTTCAATGAAATGCGCAGGCGGCACTAACCGCAGGGGGGCGTTTCTCCGTAATTACTAATTACTCTATTTAGTAGGATGTTGTGCAGCGTCACGGGATTAAGCGGTCGATGCTTCGAACGACGATCCAGTCGTAGCAGTCCGATCTATTGCGTGCCGCGAGAACAAGAGGGAACGCGGTGAATTGCCCTCCCAATCATCTCATTACACGGGTCTGCCTGCTCTCGGCCGTTCCGACAGACAACTCTAAAGTCCGGCTTTCGCCTATCTATTCCAATTCTTTCCTAACGCGAAACACCAGCCGCATCTACGTCGGACGCATCAGGCTAGCAGGGAAAAATTAACTGTCACAACTGCGGGACGCGGAGGACCTCGTACGCATTATTAATTTGCAAAAATAACGCAAACTGATACACAACATAATACAAGTGGCGCAACGGACAAGCGGTGTAAGATGACGCAGGATTAAGTACAACGTTACCTCGGGGTTTTATGCGGTCAAAAGCCACGAGCTTATATTAAATTACGTTATGAAATAGCAGGTATAAGTTCTCATATTTTGCGCTTGTCGCCCGATCGATCTACCATTTCCGTCACGCAACAGGCCGGAGAAATGTCACGTCAGCGCCCATGAGACTGAAGGCGATCTTTTTTCTGCTAATATACGAGTGAGGGAGGCCGATGTTTGTTTCAACAGCCTACCTTCTCGTCTCCTCTCTCTCTCTCTCTCTACCGTTTCTTGATTCGCCTCTGCTTTTCGTCCGCGTCGAGTTTTTATCAATTATAATGCATTTCTCCAGACGCGATACCGATTTCACGTTCTCCATTGTCGTCATGCTCCGTCGCAATGGGCACTTCGCTGGTCGCAATGTCAATGTCTCCGCAGGATATCCGCGTCGCTTCGCGAACTCAAGTACCCAGAGCGTGATAGTGCATGGTCCCTCTCCTGGCTTGGGGAACGAGGGCCCGCTGTACGACCGCCGCCCCTCTGGACGCGCCCTCCCCTCGAGCCCCTCCGCGCGATCGTCATCGTAGTCGTCGTGCTCGTCGGAGTTGTCGGAGGGTCGGAGTTCATTGTGCCACAAGTGCATTCCGAGTACCGGCGACGCCAATTGCTCGTTACGAGCCCAGTTGCGAATCGCTCTGTGAAAGCGACAGTGACATTTCCCAGAGCGAGGGCTCGGCCCTCGCGAGAGATCGGTTCCCGAGATCGGGAGTAAAAGAAAAAAACGCCGCAAGATCTGCGTGTGCAACCGCGAGATGATGCTCTCGCGCTCTCGCGTGACAAAGCGCAGCGACATGCTCCCGTTTCGTTCATTTCGTCACTTTGTGTGAAGCTTCCCGGTACAACAAGGAGTTAATTTGAATTTCGTCTCGCGCGTGCTTGTGAGAAATGGTGAGGCGAGATTAGCGGTACATGTATAGGAGTCACGTGGATTAAATCGAAGGCCGGAGTATATTGCGGTGAGTAGAGGACAAACAGAATTATTTTCTCACGCCACGCCTGAATTACTAAAATACGAGTGCGGCGGAATTTACATCCTATAATGAATTTGGTCAGAATTCCAATCGACATAAATTTCGAAATAAATTGTCGGAGGTAGAATTCTGCGGGGAAATTGTGTAACCGCGTAAACGCCGGAGTCGAATTGCCGTTGGTACTATTATATTTTATTGGTGCAACGGTAAGTTTTATCAGTGAGAAGAGCAGCAGAACCGAGGGCGTTTTTTTCTCACACGTAGCTATCGGCCCGCATGACGAATTTAAATTGCACGCTGAACTAGCGAGAAAATGACGCATATCCTTTTGCGGGACGATTGCAGCGCTGACACGTCACTGTATTCTCCTCACTCCTTTCGTCGTAGGCTATCGCAAGAAAAATTGTTTCCTTCTTTTTCAGCCTAATCGGCACGGTCGTACTGATTATCATTACATAATCGCTCGTAAAAGAGCTCGGCGAAACGCATAATGTAAACCGAGGTAACATCGACGAGGCCAATTTGCATCTACATTTTCATTACTAGTTTTACAATCCTGCATAAGGCTCGGCCTTATGCGTTCTCGGCTTAGGCGTTTCGATAATTGCCAATTGTGCAAGCGCGACATTTGCCGTTCGAGTTTCTTGCGCCGCTTGGGATGAATTTTAAGGCGCATGCATACTCGTTGCGTATCGCGTCGTCCTTCCGTATCAATTCAGTGGTACGGTCTTCTCGTATACCGTTGCATTCGCACGTATCAAAAGTTTGACACGCAACCGGTCTACACTGACGCGCAATGATACGCGGACACGCAACAAGTCTGTATCCATCTTTAGATCTTTCAACTGCCTGCGGAATGGGATGCTCGAAGAAACTTTCGTACGAACGAAAAAGTTGACGACCTCTGAATTAATACTACGAAATATCCTTGGAAATATTTTGATTGCACCCCGGTTTTAGTTATTAATGTCTTCGGCGTGAGAACTGCGACGTAAATCTGTCGCGGAATCTTATTTTGGCAATCTCAACTTATAAATGCGCGGGTATCATAAAACACAAAGGCACACACAGAAAAATATTATTGTACAGTGAAGCAAAGTAATCACTCGGTTTATTTTATTTCGTTTAAGTAATAGTTTGCTTCAACAAAGAATATTTTAACTAGTAAGAATATTCTTAAAGTCGCCGACAGTAATTAATAAATTAATAACATCGGTGATTTTTGTCGACCGTGTCTGGCAATTAAAATTCTTATTGCGAAAAACATTACCCCAGCCAGGATTCGAACCTGGGACCTCCCTACAATCCGTGACGGGCGTCTTAGCCAGCTCGACCACTGGGGCTGTGAAAGAATATTTTCTTAATAACACTTTTAAGATATACTTGTTACTAGTCTTAGAAAAGCTTGCCATCTTATGCTCGAAGAAAGAATTTATTCTTCTTTGAAGAAAATTATAAAATTTATTGAAGAATTTCGTATGCTTCTTTTAATAAAATCAGAAGAAACAAAATTGTTTTGCTTCAAATAATTCTATGTATTCTTGTTTCAAGTACTAGACTTACTAAGAACCAGAATATGTTTTGAGTACATATAACACTTGCGACGACATTATGATAGATTTGCGGATATATAAACTTATCAAATACTTGGAACAAATAATATTTACTTGCAGGTAGTATATATTTTTCTGTGTGCAGTTATGAAACGCCGAAAGGTGCAAGTGACCAGATAACCCTCAGAATTCGTTAAACGAAAAGAAATGTATATCTCTTCCGTACTACAATTGTGCGCGAGCCGTTCAAAATAAGATTACCAGAAATAAATAAATAAAAATAAATTCTAGAGGGATATAAATAAATAAAGATAATGTCCAGACAAATTCAATCGATGGCTGTTGAATTATTCATTAATTTTGTGAGTCGTTATGAAACTAATTAAAGATTATGCATTGCATCTGTATATCTTGATTAACTTTCACGACGTTAGAAAACGCGCATTTCAAAAAGACTTTCTTTAGAAATGCTAGAACTGGCTGTCGCAATAGTTCTAAATAAGAATTTCTCACGAGTAGAGAACAGCTGGCCGACGCGTTCGAACGAACGTCTCCACAACTTCTTGCCCGCCCCGTGTGAAGCTATAACGGACAGAAAAACGTTACGTTATGTGGCACATGTGAAATTTCGTGCGGCCTTCGTCGACATTAGGATTAGTTAATCGTATTAACGCACCGTGGCAGCTATTCCAATCAGCCACGAAACGCTCATTTCTTTTGCACTGTTTTCACAATCCATTTAGTATAATAAAAAAAATTGGCGACTAGTCTTGCTCCTGTTATACAGTCGAATAATAAATGAAGTAATTATTTATAAATAATATAATGTGGACGCTCGTTGAATGTATAAACAAATGATCAAATTTTAAAGGCCAAAAATAACGAACTAATATAAAGGATGTTGGAAAATTCAATTATATTCTTAATAATTTACATAGGTGAACGTTTCGACTTTACTTAGTCTTTTTCAACACCCTAATTCAATAATTATGATACGTTAAATTTAAAAGGTACGTGACTGGTCATTTTAATTATTATTAAATGTCGTTGGAATACGTTAAAAATTAGTAAAATAAAAATTATATGTATATATAAATGCCAACATCACAAACGTACCTTTTAAATTTAATGTATCGTAATTATTGATCTAGCGTGTTGAAAAAGACTAAGTAAAGTCGAAACGTTCACCTATGTAAATTATTAGGAATATAATTGAATTTTCTAACATCCTTTATCTTAGCTCGTTATTTTTGGCCTTTAAAATTTAATTATTTATACTTCCGGTTGAGAATGTGTCAAATTAATATAAACGCTGAGACGCTCTGCCATCAATTATTACGAAATTCTAGCTGCTCAAAATAGTTTGTTTCTCGTGCGATTATCAATTTTGAATTTATACTTTGTTGCGCAATATTCTACATTATTCCCGCGACACTTTGACATTCGCACTTGGCTCATATTCAATATTCAATGTCGCATTTGTACGGTACCGCGATTGAGGTCAGTTAATACTTCCTCCCAAAGTGAATATCTTTTCGGAGGGGACGTTTCTATCACGCACGCATTTACGACAAGTGTTTCCGACCCGACGCGAATGTCCGAGCAGTGTCACGATAATACGACCGGAGACCTGACGGATTTTTGTCCTATTCGAACTATAATTTATAACCATTCAAATTATTGTATTACTCTCTAAGGCCTATATTCATCGTCGTTTCTCAATTCTCAAGAGTGTATCAGGCGAGACACTCAGATTGGAGTCTCATGTCTTGAGTTACGGACGGTTCATTAGTTACATTTTGATTAAAGATCAACTGAAACTGCATTCAGCTGACAAGGGGACCGATTACTCACCTGAAATTCATCTTGAGAGTCAAAACATCGATTAAAGCGGCGATACGCAACGAGTGATGACGAGACGAAACGCAATTTTTCCCGACTCAATTCTCTTAGATGAAATCCAAAAACTATTTTCTAAAACTTCCTTTGAGAATCTCTATCGAATCGAGATTACAAACAAATATCAAATTGAGTCTCAAGATTCATCTGTTAAACAGTATCATCTCAAGACTGGTTTTAGCTGAGTTTTTCGGCAGAATCACGACTATAAATACGGACCTAAAAGTCAATCAGTGGATTATCACTGACAACAGGGAATAATCACTGATTGACTTTCAGAGACCACGATACGTATATTAGAATTCATTTATTATGCACCTGAGTTCTCTAGCTTGAAATTATTGACACGCTTTCTATTTGACAGTTTTCCTTCGTTCGACTGGTTAGCCGACTTGCGGCTGATACGCGAGAAGATGAAAGGGTCACTTTTGCCTGGTCAACGCCGACAACCACCGTGGTTTCTTCGATGTGGATTCTACTGAGGAAATCGCGTTTGAAATCCAACAAATACCTCTATCCTTTTCGCAGTAAGTACGTCGCACTCAAAATGCTCCTTCACATTGTTTTTATACAGTGCCTAATTGAGGGACGTCTTTTAGAAAACGCAATTTTACTGAAATGAGTCTCTCGGAGATTTCGTGGATCTTCATCCTGATCGCGGCGTTTGAAAGAGCATTTGTCGTTAACTCGCTGACCGGGGATCACGTGTGCCCAAGACTAGAGAAGTTAGTATCCAAATATCTACAAGATACACAATACCGTGCAATTGTAGGCAAAGCTCATTTTGTAAGTAGCGTGTGTCAGAGTTAAAAGAAGAATACTATTTTTCATATGTTCACATATGCCTAGAAAAACAGGAAACCGCTGAGGGCATTGTGGTGCGCATATTTGCGGCATTACTAGGCATTACTAGACATTTTTTAGGCATAATAAGATAAAGTAATGCCCACTGGGCATTAGTGGGCATTGTTGTACAAGATTTTGGTCAGCGGTTTCCCCCTCGGTACACCCTCAGAAAGGATTTCTGTTACCGAGACAAAAAATATTTTTGACGCATTTATATTCACTCACAACCTCATTTAGTACAAAAATAAGACAATATCAAAATAAAATGAATAATTCTTATTCTTCTCTATTGAATTAAAAAAGATTGACTTACTATATTGAGACAAAAGTAACTTATATAAATGTAAGTTTATATATTCTTGCGTTTAGAATAAATTTTCCTTCCACCTTACAACGCACCAAGTTGGCACCACGATATTCGACAAAAGACGACACATACTATCATTTTATTCTAGATTTTAGAATTTTTCATTTAAGATTATAAAAGTGGCGATTGTGGCGCAAAGAGATGTGCGCTGCTCTAACAAGCCGAAGATCCGAGTTGAAATCCAACCAAGAATTGTTGGTTTTTATTCGATCGCCACCTCTCGGAAGGCAATAGTCAAATCACCGAGAGTACCTTCCCATGAAAATCCCCTTGTGGAAGCCGTTCGGAATCGGTGTTAAATTGTAGGTCCCATATACCTGATGCACAAAGTAAAGTACTAAAGTACTTTACAGTACTGAAGATTAAAATATTCTCTATAATAAACACGATTGGCGCTATATCGATTCTATTTTATGATACATTCAAGTGTAATAGCATTGGATCCGGAAATTTGTTCTGTGGGTGTAGATTATCCAAAGTTGGTTTAAGTGATATTTCGCTTTCCAAGCGGCATGCAGTTTGATAATTTTTTAAGAGACCTTCACCCGGAAGCCTTGACAATGCTGGCATGCGTAATACGTATACAAATCATTATTTATGCGCGCACCTCGCCGCATATGCCGCTGTAAACCTGATAAGGGAATCGCGGGGCCAGTCGCTAATAAATCGTACGTTACAGTTACACAGTCACGTCGTACGAGACTTACACCGAGCCGGTCGTGGTCAACTCGTTCACCTGGTGCCTACAAATTCCCCCGAGATGTCCCAAGACGTGGACCGAACTACGACAACGGTATCGTGTGAAGGTAAATCCCGGTCCAAGACATTGTCAATCCTTTCGTGGCTTGAAACCTTCAGCCTCACTGTTCGGCGAGATGATTTAGGCCCGGTTTCACCAAACGCTCAACTTTAATCTTCGTCGCTTAACTTTAATCTTAGTTCACTTCATGTTTGTCTCTTTCTAAAGTAGCTGTTAAGCTAAGCTTAAAGTTGGACAACGTTGGTGAAACCAGACCTAGGCGTAACATTATTAGATTATTAACATTAACCATTTATACATTTTCTTCCACATATATAATTTTTTCGTGAAACTCGGAAGCGTTTTAGTTCTTCGAAACGCCTGTGATACGCTAATTGTTCACTTTCTCAATCAGTTTCGGTAGCACATATCCCGAGTATATCGGAAGAAATAATAATTAGAGAATTCATTAACGGCGGATATGCATTTGCATTGAAAGAATCCAATTTTTCCGACGCAGGTATCTACGCAGGCAATTTCATTGTTTATTCATCAATGGAGTCTAGCTCGTATGTCGGGGAAAAGAACCATTCTCTCGAACTTTTCAAAGGAAAAGGAAAATATGTTAATCTTACACGCAACGGGAGACTCTCGCACAAGCGTGTAAGTTCAGTTTCGTGGAAGGCTTCGGCGTGGAACGGGCAAGAAAGTAACGTTCCGTCAAAGGATTAGCGATTGTTTGCACAGCTTTACTTGATCGATAGTTCACTCTTTGCCGTATAAAGTTGTGGTAATTAAAAATCTGAAGCTCGACCAACGACGTAGAGCTGCTGGTGCAACGGCTGCGAAATAGAATCCTTGTGGTCGAGACCGAAACGATCGGAGCCGAAAGAAAGGCAAGAGGTACATTCGCGCGAGACAATAGATCCGTAATTTATTCCAACGTCAGAGCGGAATTGCATCGCGGAAGGAGTTACGTAAACCCCGATTTCCACGCCTCGTTATGGAAAAATGTCGTTTCCCAGGCGGCGTGAATGGAAAACGATCGGCGAAATGCTTCTCGCGTGGCGGGTACCTGTGTGCCGCGGCAAAACGCTCCACATACACGACGCTATGAAAGAACCTGTCTATTCTTCCGCTTTTGCCTCTTACTCTGCGTCCCTCCCTCGTGCCACATCCTCGTTCTCCGTCGCCCTCTCTCTCTCTCCTTCTCTTTCTCTCGTCTCTGCCACGCCGATACGAGCTAATTACAGGGAAAGTCTGTATTAACGGCGGCCATCTGATTAAGTAAATAAATAAAAAGAAAATGCGGAGTACACGTATGCGCTCGAGCGTACGCCTGTACGAGAGGAGGGAGCGGACCGGCGGCGACTGCAATTACCGCCCCGTGAAATGCGGAATTGACGAATCGCGCCGAAAGAAGGAGGAACCTGTCCCCGTCTCGGGATTACGAAACAATCCAGAAGCGGGCTATTAGCTGAAAAGGACAACTCGCGCGGCGCGGCTTTGCGCCGTATCTTTGCGCGGTACCCTCGAAGAAGGGAAATGCCGGAAGTCGACAATTTGCGAAGTTGTTTAACTCGGCGCATCGCAGGTGGATGGTAAGGATAATTTCTCCGCGGGCGCGCACGGGGGAGGGGAGGGGAGAAGATATCGTATCTCTCGTGTAAGTAATGTCATTTCGAACTGGTTACACGAGGCGTTTAATCGAGCAGTAACGCGGACGAACGGCCTTACGAGAAATTACGCGTACGCGATCGATTGCGTCTAAACGTGCAATCGCGACGCAACGCAAGTAGGTATTCGATTCAGGCATGTTCGCGATTTAACTGGGGGGGGCTCTCGGGTATCAATTTATGCCGCGAATTACCGAGGCGCGAACGTAATAAAGCCGACGTGAAATCTCGCGGCGATTTACGGGGACACTCGATAACGCAGCCGCGCGAAAATTAATCGCCGTCGCTTAATGACGATGAGACGTGACGTGCATAACGCGTAAACAAGGTCCCGGCGTACGGCAGACGTAAGAGAGGAAAAAAAACCATCGCGTGTCATCGACCAGACGAATCTCGCGCGTGAATCCGAGTGAACGTCGAATCCACGAGAATATAATCTCGTTGACAGTGAGATTAATTTTCAATATCCGAACAAGTCGGCTCTCGTGTTAATAGTCCTGTTCGTTCTAACAGAAAAGAGAGATTGATAATATACATACATTGTCTTTTTTGTTCGTCTGCATCAAGATAAACGTGTCTGAGAGGAGTAAAGAAATGTCAGAGGCTGAAACTTCCATTTTTTTCAGGGGAAGATTGCAAAAGTTCAGAATGACGAATGCGTGATATTTCCACATAAATTAAGGGGATGCTGGAGTGGTTTGATTTGATTGACCGACAGAGTCGCATACAGTTTTTGGGGGTTTGTAAATCTTACCTCAAGGAACGTAACCTCAATATGTCATATTATAGATACAAACCAAAATAATTATGTAGCATTTATGTACAAACTAATACCAGACCCAAGTGTAGAATGCATAGTAGAACATTTTCATATAAAAAACATTGAGGTTTGAAGTCTAATTCGTATCGCATTATGTATTACAAATATTGCAATACATAATGCGATACGAATTAGACTTCAAATCTCAATGTTTTTTATATGAAAATGTTCTACTATGCATTCTACACTTGGGTCTGGTATTAGTTTGTACATAAATGCAAATAATAAGATTTACAAACGCAAAAACGGTATCCGACTCTGTCGGTAAATCAAACCACTCCAGCATCTCCTTAAGGGGATGCTGGAGTGATTCTGCACTTTCGTATCTTTTGCACCTAAAACTGTTTCGTGGAAAGATTTGTGTAATACACAAATTAAATGGCACGTGTACAGATGATCGAAA